CTTTATTATTTATGTTTTTTATTAAGTTTTGAGATAAATATTTTTCATAATTTATTATTCATATAGTCTAGATGAAGTTTATTTGAATTTAAAAATATGTTTTCTACGATTGGCAATTCGAAATCGAAAATTGTTTGAAAAAGAATATGTAAAAGTATATATCCTTCTTCATCGACTGCATTAACATTAAAATCACAATTGATTAATAATTGAATAGTTTTAGGACATAGAAAACTAAAAATAAAAGTCTAACAATGTATATTTTTGAAGGTGTGGGTGTGCTTGACCTCTTTCTATACTCATACCGACACCCACACCCACATCCACGAACAGACACTTGACATTAGTATACAGATACACTTTCTACAACGAAAAAATTATTTTTCTGCAAGAAAATCTCAGTTCAAAAATATTGTCGCCTTCAAATTATTTGTTCTTCAAGAAAAAAATCATTTTAGAACACGAAAACACGTTTCGACAGCGACGCATAACTAAGCATTTCTTTTTCCTGTTGAAATTATGACGAGCAATCGAGTTACATTTCATTCAGTCTTCTTTTATTCTTACATTCAGATATATTAATGCGCTTTTCCATTTTTTTTTCTTGTGTTCTATGACGGCGTTTCTTTTCTCTGCCAACCGTCGCATTAGAAACCGGATCAATGAATGTGTATGAAGTAAGAAGAGAACACAAAACTTACAGTCACATTCCCGATATAAAGATATGACGTTCGAGACATAGAGCAAGAAAAGAATTGTATACTTCGCCTTTGTGCCATGAAATACAACTTTCAGAGCTACGCTATTGGAAGAATCTAATAACGTGTATTTCTAATATGTCGTGCCTTTTCTCGTGTTAGAAAAAATGTTGTTTCTTATCTCTATTTACTATCAAAACGCAGAATAAAAGGAGTTGCGCAAAAATAGAGACTTCTACAGAACAGATTCAGTTATAACAATTTTTGAAAGCACCATTATGCATTGCAGTAACAACTCGTAAGTTATAAAGACTAATGCGCGCACTGCAGTCTTGTGTGCAGCGCTTATCTTTACTATTACATGAAATATGAACTTAGCAGAAAGAGTTAGCCAATCGTCAGCGGCGCTTGGAGCGGGCGTAGATGTGAGGAACTTAATCAATCTCACATTTAACCACATTCACTCATCTACATAAACCTACATGCACACCCACCCTCAAATGACTCAAGATTAAATAAATTCATCAGATTTCTTAGTCTTGGAAACCTGTTGTCAGATTTTCTTCGATGCCTCTGGTCTCTCAGAATAAGCTTTTCATGACGAAACAATCAAACTCATAATTTTACGAGTAACAAGACCGAGAAACTCAATTTCGGCACATGCTTAGACATTATTAGCTGCCCTTCTAATTATCTTCCTCATCATTCCTAATCAAGTCTAATCAATAATCAGCTGTTTTCCCATTGTGCAATGTGCAGTGATGAAAGAGAAAAAGGTGATTAAGAAGGGTAAAAACTATTTTTTGTTGTAATCATTGCTTTTTGCTTATAGATATTTGATCAAATAGTAAGTATCTAACTACTTATAACAGCTTCACTAGGAAAACATTATTACATTACTCATATTGGTCTTTAGTTGAATGAGCAATAGACACTTACCGACAGCAAGCAGTAGAGATTATAGTTGATACTGCAAGTACAATTTTTTTCAAGTATATAAACTTTCGTTATGGCTACCCAAATGGTCGATCAGCTCTTAGAGAGTGCTCGAGAACTACTTGGGTCTGAGGACTATCTCGGAGCACGTGTACTGATCAACCAAACACTTGCTTTGGATCCGTTTGATGGTAAATTATGGAACTACCGATCTATTGCTCATCTGAAGCTTGGCTATCCAGAGTTAGCATTTACCGATGCTGCTCGCGGAGTTCAGCTCTTGGATGATAAACTTGCCAAGACTACCTTATCTGTAGACGACCGTAACGATTCAGTTTTCCTAAAACTTGACATATTATACAGTTGTCTTCTTGCTGCTGAAAGTTTGAACAGTTTTGAAACAGCATTACATTTCATTCGTCGATTGTTAACCAACACGCACTTGCTCAATGCTGAAGCTCGTCGAACCCTTCTCGAGAAAAAAGCTTTATTCGAAGCGAAAACAAATGAGATACGTAATAAATTCATTGGACAAAGTAATTCATTGGGAGTCAGTGTTGACTACATCATAAATTTAGGTACCATGCGTGTGACAAAATATCCATGGGATGATTTTGAACCGTTTTGTACAGAAAATGATATTGAAAATCAGCTGAAAGAACTTAATACTATGCTTGAGCCAATCGCTCCAAAATTAATGGTTGCTCAAATGTAAGTTCTCTCACTACCACTTTAAAAAATTATCTTTATTTTATGCAGCCTTTGCACTTAGGGATGTACCGAGCCTGAGTCCCGATGGAGGCTTTCGAGCTCGGGCTTGGTCAGGGATTGAGTGAGAAGATGAGTGTGACTGTGGGTGTAGATGTAGATGTGAATGTGGTGAGTGCAGGTACTATTCTTTTCACTCTCACTCACACCCACACACACATCCACTCCACATTCACCCTCAAGATAAGTCGGTTTTCGTATTTACCAAAAACTTGATGGTTCCTAAGTTGGGTACACTTTCAGAACTTCCTACTATAAAACCTAAAAAAGGTTTTATAGACCATAAAAAGGGTCCCGTAGGTAAAATACGAGACTTTGGGAGTTTCATATTAAGGTTTAGAATTCAGTACGAAATCGTCACGAGTTAATACAAAACTTTCAAGGTCTCATATTTTTCCTATAGAACTCTTTTTTTCGTCTACGAAACCTAAAAAGGTTTTGCATTAGAAGGTTCCGAAGGTGTACCCAACTCAGAAACCATTAAATGTTTGGTAAATATGGAAACCGACTTGTCAGATTCTCTATATCTTAGAGAACATTTGTGAAAGCTTCGGTAAAACCCCTTTTTTCGTAGAGTGAAATGGGCCAGCGCCGCCACTAACCCTAATTAATTTTTTACAGGCCCAATAATCCAGCACTTTTCAACTCCAATACTGTCTCTACAGAATCGTCTTCTGGAACCAGCAGACCTCAGTTGGGTATTATAACCAGAGAGAAAATTAAGCCTAGAGAACGTATTCTAGACGAGCCTGGGATTCTTATCAACAACGGTTTGTATGGTCCAAAGTGCAACTACTGCAATAATGTTCTATCAGCCTCCACGAGCACACCAAGTGAAACAAAGAAGGCAACATGTAACGAATGTGGAGAACGATTTTGCTGTGTTCGGTGTTACGAATCAGCAATAAAGACTTTCCATAAAGCCTTATGTGGTCGCGACATCTCTGATATTTTAGCATTTGTTGCCAAAGGTATTTCGTGTAGCAGTTTAAACCATCTGCTTCTCTTGCGTGTTTTGGCGATGGCTGTTCAAAGTAATCAGCATCCTCTCGAGATGTCTGTTGTAAAATATCTGACAAAAGGCATTAAAGAAGAAGCACCTTGGGATGTTCATAATGCATTCTATCTATACTTGGATATGCTCAAGATATTAGGACTGTGTCCATATCATGATATTACCAAATTTGATTTCTGGGTATATTACACACTCAGCAATAAATTGGTATGCAACGTGTTTGGAGAGTACAAGGCACCGGGAAAGCCAGCAAATGGAATGTTATTTCCTTTCAGCAGTTTTTTCAATCATTCATGTGTTCCCAATTCTATTTTTATTAGGGACAGGTACGCTCGTCAAGTAATTGTCGCATGCAAAGAAGGGATTGAAAAACATCAGCAGGTGTTCATTAGCTACATTGATCCCGATCATTCCGTCATAAAACGGCAACAGCTCTTTCAAACTAGTTATGGCTTTGTTTGTAGATGTGAACGCTGCATTCGCGAAATGGGAACAGACAATGAGGAAGAAATACGCAACAAAACTTATCCTTCTATTAACGATTGAAGAACAGTATCACTACGTCGTTATTTTTTTTTCAGAATGATTTATAAAACTTTATTTTTTAAAATGAACTTATAAGAGATAAAACGAAGCAAACTACTGCTGTGTACATTATTAACCGCGTGAGTAGATCTGGGTGGGTGTGAATACTGAATAACAAAAACATACCCACAGCCACCCCTATCCACACCTACACTCGAACTCTCACCCACACCCTTCCTCCAGATTGCCACATAAATTTGTAATTTTCTTCTAATGTTCTATTTCCATCGTTTACTTCGTTTCCATCATGATCTACAGATTGATTTTAGTATTCTATTGATCTTTACGTTGTTAAAAACTTGTTGTCAAAATGACTGTTCAAAAAAAAATATTATGATAACAAATATTGATATTCTTTCTGACAAAGTCTTTCAGACGAAGACTGAGAAAGGTTTATTTTCTAAACAATATTATCTCGATTTTGCTCTTCAAATATCCAATTCAGTTATGGATCGATAAAGCAATAAGAACTGAAAGGAAGTTTATGCTATATTGCTTTTAACATACTCTTTAGTATGAAAAAATATTGAATGAAAGAAAAAAAAACAAATTCATAAGAATAATATCAAATTCATAACAAAAAAGCATGTTCTGCGATAATAAAACTCATAATAATAGTATTCTATATAATAAAATATTCATGTCTACATTTTTATTAAGTATGCTAGTACCGCATATGCATTAACAATTAAAAACTGATGATTTTATTTTAGATTGGGAATCATTACATCGTCTAACTGTAATTATGAGAAATAACTTAATTATCAAAATTATATTTCATCAATGATTTTATTTAAATGAAAAATGTAAACCGATCAGATATTACATAATTTTACGAAAAACGGTTGTAAAGTATGACGTGTCAAAGAAATTCCGTTACTAAATATGTCGACAGCAGTTGTTTGATGATTATAATAGTGGTAGACGACTAAAGCAATTAATTTAGTCATTTCAAATTTTTACGTCAACAAACGAGATGAAATTTGAAGAACCTCTGTAGCGTGACAGGTAAATACTTACAAAATGTTTTCAATTTTATCATGTTTTTATAGTGGAGAAAAATTGATGATTTTTTACCAGATCTTTTATAGCCAGCGTGTTGTCGGGAATAAGCAATAATAGAATGTTGAAATTATATGAGCCTATCGAAAATAAAGCTAATTGAATCAATATGGAACATCGATGAATGGTTAAATGAATCTTTTTTTAACTAAGCCTATAAAAAGAAACGGCTTCGAAGTTAATTCTACAGAAAGCATGAGATGAGAAAAAGAATGTAAAATGAAGATTTAATTATATAAAGTCTTTTTTTTTGTTTTGTACTTACTTTTATAAAGACGGAAGAATTCACTCGAATCATTTTCACCATCAAGAATAAATATCATAGGAAGAAATGTTTGAATATTATTTTCAGTTATATTTTTTCTACTCTCAAGAAAATCTCGTATTGTATACCATAAATTAACTTTATCAGTAAATGTTATTTGACCAGGTATATTATTAATTAATAAATCTCCTAATTATATACTTTTTGAACGGATTGTTGAATGTTATATGATGATTTGTTTAGGTTTTGAGAAAAATAGTTCCTATTGATATTAGACTGATATTGGTGTATGGATTTTCAATAGTCTAGATGAATGATAATCATTTTAGTTTCTTTTTTCTTCTGGTGTATTTTTATAAAAAAAAAAGAAAGACAACTAGGAAAAAGATGCACTTGTTCGTTGTTGTTTTGACTGAAATTATATTATATCCGTTCCTCCCTTGTTGAACCGCACCCCCTTCAGAAAGTTCTGGATCGGATACTGTTTTTCTCTATAGATATTAACATGTATATTTATCATTATTTTTGTAAAGATAAATGGTAGTGTCAAGCTCAACATAATCACGCAACCACAGTTACTAATCAAATTTCATTTTCTAAGTATAAAAAAAACATTTTTGTTCTCATAATAAAAATATAGCATTACTTGTTCATAGTTTTTTTCTTCTTTATTTTGATATATTCCCATAAGATTTTAATCAATAGATCATAAATTAAGAGATTGCATTGGAAAGAATTATTCTATTTGTTTTGTTTAATATTCATACTGAATAATAAATTATAGTTTCTAAACATCAATATTACATCAGAAAGATTTCTTGATTAAATTATATAAATTAGTTTTCATAGATCTAAAGAAACAAAAAAACAATAACATAGTAGAAAGTTCTAACTATTTTTAGATTATTCTTGTGTGACATTCTTTCAGCTAATTTATTCCGGATTTCGAATGAATAAAAGAATTTTCATCCTGTTTCTTCTTGTTTTGTTTCAATAATATTTTTTCTTATTATTATTGCTTGTGTTTATTCATTTCTAGACACGTTCATAATCTATATAATATCAGTAAGTGTAAGAAATGCTTCGGGAAAGATCAAAAGCCTTCTTTTTTTGACGAGACGGTGGAATAAAACCTGATTAGAATCTAATCATAAATTTAAAAATACAAATACTCATTATTTGACATATATAGCTGTATTCGTGAGGTCAATTTACACTTTTCTATTTGTATTTATGAGCTGGAAATACTTATCTATTTTATAGTCGAATGGATTTCTAGGGATAGAACAGATGGCTAGTAGGTATTGCATACTTTGTATATGAAAAATTTATTAATATTTGATATAGTAAACAAGAAAAAAAGCTTGAAATGTGAGAAAATCAACATATAATATGTATAGTCTGGAAAATACTTCAAGCATATTAAAAAAAAGAGAATTTCTAACAATATTTTCAATTATCTAGACACATTTTTTTATCTTTGATCTTTTATTTATACTCTATAATATTTTATATACAGTTCGAAATATAATTGTGATACTTGATGGAAACGACAAGTAAGAATTGTAGATCGTCATCTTTTACTATTTTCTGTAATTTAGTATACAGTCATATCATATTATATCTCATTATTTTCAATTATATTCAAGATATTTACAATTGATCTTGATAGGTGACAATAAAATTCTATTATTATAGTTTTAAATTTCTATCTCAAAAAATGTAGATATGTTTGAAACAATCTTTTATGTAATTTCAATCGTATTGATAATTTTTAAAGATCATATAGTTCATTCTGTAATAGTTTTTCTATTCACAACAAGTACTAAATTATAAATCCAATTAAGAACTTTTAACGAAATTGTATAGTCTACATTTTTTTAATTTCTTAACTGATTATAATTATAAATAGAGTATTTGAAAATAACTTTTTTATTATTATATATACTGTGAAAATGTTTGATGTAAAAAGATTAAAATTTAGTTATGTAAAAGTATCTAACAATTTTTTTACTGTTGGCTATGTCTAGTCTATGTTAAAATCTTCATCTCCTTTTTATTAAATATACCATTAAGTTCCTTTTTTTGTTAATCTAATGTAGAAAATTAGATATTAACATTCAAATTGATTGATCTTTTGTTTAATATTACAAAAGAATTTAGTTATATGTTCAGGAAACGATTTTTCCCAACAGAAAACGTATCTAAGTTTCAGAAACACTATAGAAAAGTTTTGGTAAGATAAACGTCAATGAGTATAACACTCGATTAAATGAAAAGTATTCAATATCTTTTCATGTTAGAGTAATGATGTACTAAGGTTTTCAATTTGATAGTTGATTCTTTTTTTTCAGTTCAAATTATTATATAATGAGATATATCATCTGTTGGAAATACTCTAAGTAATTTACGTTAATGTTGCTGGGTGCGTATCTGATGAATTCATCGTTGATAATTGTATGTCAGTTACATGATAATAACAAGACAATATACTTCCTTTTTTGCAAAATGTTGTGAATCAACTAGAGTATGTAGGTTATTAGGTCAAAATATTTACTTTTTTAATTATTTTTTCTGCTATCTCTTAAAAATCTATCTCCTGTTTTTGTTTTGTGGATTATGTTAATAGAATGTGTTTGTGAATATCTATCGTGGCACAATTAATTGCTACAACTACGTTTGAGTACTTGCATGAATAGGTTTCTAAAGAAGTATCATCAATATAAGAATGGATAGGATTTCATTATCAAGTACAAAGTTTACTTTTACATTAGAATACTTATGAGAAAGATCATTATATGTTTTTATATGATTCAACGGATTTCTTCGTTGATAATTATTATTTTTGTGAGTTACATATATATAATAAGTAGTTCAGTTTTGTTATTCTAGGCATCATTTAGTTGATATATCATTTGTTGAAGGAATGCATTTTTTTTTTGATAAAGATAAATTTCTTTTCTCATATAATATCTTTAAATTTATCTCGTATTTTATTTATCATAATGCATAAATAATATTTCAAGAGTTCTTTTAACTTTGATGAATGAAAGTTGAGAAAACCTTTTTTTTTTGTTTACAGTATAAATTGTTTCTACATGCTAATATAAATTTACTATTATTTTAGATAAAATAACTAAAATTATTTTACGCAAAGATCTTATGACAAGTTTTGATTAATCTATTGCGTAAATTGTTAGCGTGATCAACAGATTACGTGCATTCGTGTTTTTTTGGTAAGGTACGTAGTTGAGGGTGTTTAGTTTTATTTAACCTATATATAGATATAAGGACAAAAAAGAAGGAATAATTAGGATTTTTATAAAAGAAAAATGCACTATAATTTTTTCTTCTTTCTATAGTAACAAATTATGATGTCAACAACGATTCCAACAATATTCTCAACTGATGAACATATATCACTTAATCCATCTAATAATACAATGATATGTGCAGGTAAATCAAAAAATATTTTGTTTATGAATGTTGATTTTTTGTTTTTATTAGAACAATTAATTGGTGAACTACTTGAAGGTCCATCTGGTCGAATTATATGGGGTGTTATACAAATCATTTTAATGGCATTAGGCGATATTGGTAAGTAGATACTATGTATATTGAATATTATGAACACAATACCATTTAATTAATAGGAAATATTTTAACATTAATTGTTCTTAATCGTCGTTTGATGCGTAAAGGTGGTATTAACAATCTTTTACAAGGTCTTGCTATAAGTGATATCGTTGCTCCAACTCTTGCTTGTATTCCACATATTATCTATTATTATGGTCCACGAACAAATGATAGTGCAATAAATTTTATTAATTTATATGTTATGCCTTTAGCAACAGGTGCAACATTTTGTTCTAATTGGATCGGTATGAATTTATTTAATTATTATTAGAAAAATTAATTTTTGTTCTTTTTCAGTTGTAACAATAACAAGTTTTCGTTTAACAATTGTTCTTAAACCACTTTATTCTCAACTTTATTGTTCAAGTCGTAATGAAAAAAAAGTTTTAATTATCATATTTTTCTTTAGTATTCTATCAATTACGCCTTATTATTACTATCAATCTCATGCAGATGCACTTAATGTTTTAAAAGTTATATCAGCTATTTTATCCTTATTAGTTCCTTGGGTAATATGTGTTATTCTTTGGATATTATTATTACGTATTGTAAATCGTGAAATCGGCTCAAAAAAATCCCGAGAATTTATCTTACATTCAGAAATAATAACACAACGTTTAAAATCAAAATCTCGTATAACCAAAATGATCTTAATTATATGTTTCTGTAATATCATATGTCAATTACCTGTATTAATATTAACTATATTAGGTCTTATTAATGATAATCCATGTGGTTATATATCTGCAATATTTTTTGTTTGTCTCCTTTTTCTATCAAATTTATTATTAATTGTAAATCATTCAATAAATTTCTTTATTTATTCATTAACAAATACAAAATTTCGTTGTGCATTAAAAATTATGTGTCGTTATTGTTATTCATATTATAATCATAGAATAATTCAACGACAAATGACATTAGCAACAAAATGTGATGATCAACAACGAAAAGGTTTTCATCAGAAAAAATTAGATTTATATATACGTTCAAATTCAAAAAGTAATGATAGTCCACCTATAATCATTACGATGCGTTTATTAAATAATATATCAAAACAAAATCGAAAGAAATCAGGACCTGTTGCTGTGTAATTTCTTTGTATTTATCAATAAAATTATGAAACGATGTTATAACTGATTTATTTAAAAGCAGAAATTTAGCAAAGAAAACCACAATATTCAAGTTCATCTTAACCTATTTCTGTTAGGGTTTAATAATAACAACTTCTCATTATAATAGAAATAGGTTTAAATTCCATCAGTCTGCACAGTCAGGCTACGATGACAACTTTTATATTAACCATAATTGATAGTACGCATAAGCGTATTTTATTTACTTATATCATTATTTATATGCGTCATAAACTTTTATAGAGTGAAGAAAAGGAAATATATTCTTATTTAAATATGCACTCGTCATATTCATAATACTCTTGAAAAATAGATCATATACTATTTTTATCTAACATCTACTTGGAGTGCATATAGTAAAATAATACAAATGAGTTTGCAATAGACGTAATTTAGTAAAACTAATGAACCTGTGAATAGTATGAATAGCAAAAATTCTTTATTCTATTTTATGTACTTAGTATATTAAATTATTTAATATTATAAATAATCTATTTTCTAAAGGCTTCAATTGTCCTTTAAAGAATCCTTTAATAAATAATATTCATAACTTAAAATATGTTATTAGATATTGTATTCTGTTATAAGCTGAGAAAAATATTATTATTATTATTATTTGATATTACATTGAAGAGTACAGTTGTATATTATCTATTGAATCTACCTATTCAAAGAGGTTAACAATTATATCACTTGAATATAATAACATTTTAAAAATTATGTCAAAATATTTGCATATCGAATATTATTATTGATGAAGACATGATTTTCCTGCAAACATATGACTGATATGCACTTTTCTTATTCTATGAAATCTTAGCAGGGTTAATGAAATTGTTATTTATCGTGTGACAATATGTTCTTTATTTTTAGTTTTCAGATTTTCTATGTGAAATCATTCAAATACAAGATTAAATTTCAGTGAATACATAAAAGAAATCTTATTTAATCAATCATAAGTACAAAATACAACTGATATCTGTATGATTTTAATATTAAATATATCGCATTATCATTGAAAACGTTACAGTATAAACAGTTGATAAGATTAATACTGGTAAAACGAGTTTTCACTATGTAATCGAATGATACTTAATAGTAGCATTCAATTGTACTGCTAAATATAATTTAAAGTATTTCATCTGCTTTGGAAGGATTAACTGAAAATTGAGTTAATTTTTAATAAAAATATTTCTTCTGAATATCTCGACATGTCTCTTTTGATTATGTCTAGATCAACTTCATAATATGTTAATAATGAGATAAAAATGAGTGTCAATACTTTAAATGAACTTAACAAAACGATATTCAATTCTGAATTTTGAGTTGTTCTTTCTCATTGGTTATACGATTAGCCAATAGGAAATGTTTATTAAAGAGGTTCTTATTATATTTATGACGATTAATCTATGGCCGATACAAAACAAACGAAATTGTCTTGTGTGTACGAGATTCTTTTCTTTTTGTTGATAAACTAAAAAGAGAAAATGAGCGATGATCTTATTCAAACAATAATCAATGATGATCGTCAACGTTTTTTACTTGATCTTGAATTTGTTCAAACATTAGCTAATCCTCAATATTTGAATTTTTTGGCTCAAAGAAATTATTTTAAAAATCCAGCATTTATTAATTATTTAAAATATTTACTCTATTTTAAAGAAGATAATTATATAAAATACGTTCGTTATCCTCAAGCACTTTATTTTCTTGATTTATTACAACGTGAACAATTTCGACAGGAACTTGTTAATGCAACTTATTGTCGCTATATTGAAGATCAACAATTATTAGCATGGCAACGACTTCAACGTCGAAAAAATCAACTTTTAAATAATGCTACTGGATTAGCAGCATCGTCATCAACAACAAATAATAATAATAATAATGAAGCAGAAACACCAAATACGCAAAATAGTACAAATGCAATATCAACATCAACAACAACGAATAATACACAACTTCGTTAGAAATAATAAACGATTATTTTTTGTGTATAGTAAAAACTTCATTTTTTTTCCATTATGGATATGAATTTTTTGAGTATTAATTAAAATTCCTGAAATAGGAATTCTATTCTGAAAGAATATATAGTATGTACATGATAACTTAAAAAGTCTATCTTTTCACTAAATCATCTAGTCCAGATTTGTTTTTATGATTATTTATTGTTTTTTTTTTATTATTTCAGATATATAACTATGACATCTATTGATAATGGAATATCAGCTTCTGCTGTAACTAATGCACTTATTTTACCTAATATAATCTATCCTGTTATTGAACAACTTGATAAATCTGGATATAAAGATATTCAAAGTGAATTACGTAGAAAATTTTATCAACTTGAAGAATATTATCCAGGTTTTTCTCATCAATTTCTTCAATCATTTATACATAAACAAATGCCATCATCAACAACAAATATGAATGAATTAACACTTAAATTAGAAAAATATTGTGATAAATCATCATATTTTATTTCATCATCACGAAGTGAACCAGAATTTCATGAATTAAATATTCGTTCAAAAAATCTCAAACGTATATTAAGTCGTATTCCAGATGATATCAATGAAAAACGTGAATTTCTCGAAACAATTAAAGAAATTGCAAGTGCAATTAAAAAAACACTTGATAGTGTAACAAATACATATCAATATTTTAAAACATCTGATGGAAGACAAGCATTAGAGAATGAAAAAAAAGAATTTATTAAATACAGTAAAAATTTTAGTAATACATTAAAAGCATATTTTCGTGATAATAAACGTGATGATGTTTATATCGCAGCAAATCATTTACTTGTTCAAACTGATTATTTATTACGTACTATAAAACTTTATTGTGAAACAGATGCATTGGATGAATGTTTATATCCTTTAATATCTCAACAACAACAAAATTCAAATCGAATCATTCCAACATCACGTTATTCATCAAATAATAGTCGGCAATCATCATCATCATCTTCAGGAAATAATCGACCAATATCTTCATACGAAATCAATTATACTTAAATTAGAATATCATCTATGAACTAATATATTTTATTTCCTTCTTTGTATGTATATATGTAAAAAATGTGGGAAAAAAATCGTGCTAAATTTGTCTTCCATATACGTATGTACAGTAGAATTTGTTTTATTATAGAATAAGTAATTAAAAACAAAAAATAATACTTCGATATTTACTTGTTTTATTTTTGATGTATAATCTCGAGATAAAATCACTTCCTATTTACCTTGAATGATATGAAGAGGAATTGTGAATGAGTGAGTCTTTTTTTTTTTGTTTTCAGTTAGAATATAATTAATATTGTTAACTCATATTGACTAATAGATAATCATGGAAGCAAAAAGGAATTATAGATAATGTTATCTGTATTGGAAATGGAAAGACAAAGAGAGAAAAGAAAATAGAAAAATAAGAACATGTGTAGTGATCTATAGTCGTGTGGGCATATGCATCAGCTCGACTTTAATAGTTAACTAATGTTGATATGTGATAAAGAATAAAAGAAAAATAGAACGACGAACGGCAAAGGGAAACAAAAACCCACCCACTCTTATTTTTCTCTACGGGCAAGTGTCACAATAGTAGCGGACTGACTTTTATACTCGTTCTCGTCATTCTTTTCCTCTTTTCCTCTCGCATTTTCTTTTCTATTGATTCGGCAGTAGTTCTTCACGATCGTACGAATTAAATCTAATATATGACCAAGACGACTATCTCTTTTTTTTCAGCAGTACGCAATCACAGCTTTTAATACAGTCGATGACATCACTGTAAACGAAAGAAACAGATTTTTTTCTCTTCTGCTGTGATTATTATATATCATATCTTTATTCAAGTTTATTTAAACAACGTCATTTTATTATCTAGAAAAGATAGACATTGACTTTTAACCTTTATTATTCTATTTTATTCTTGTTAATATTTAAGATTGAAAGACGAACAACGATATAGATAATTTATTTAAATCAGTGAACAAAAATGCCATCCTCATCTACTGTAGATAATCGTACTTTTAAACAACGTAAAAATTTCGGTAAATATCAACTTTTATCTTTATTGAATTTTTTAATCTTTTGTTTCATTTAAGCAACACGCAAAGAAGAAGTAGCTGGAATTCGAAGTAAATTTCCAAATAGTAAGATTTATACTTGATAAAAACAATAAATAATCATTTCATTCTTATTATAGAAATTCCAGTTATTGTCGAACGGTATCATAAAGAAAAAGATTTACCTATTCTTGGTAAAATAACTTTGATTATTTTTCATTTATACTAGTTTGTATTTTTAGATAAAACAAAATTTTTGGTGCCACAAGAATTAACCATGTCTCAATTTGTGACAATAATTCGGTAAATAAAAATCTAAACTTCTTAAAAAAAGAAATTTATTAAGATTAACGTCTTATTAGAAATCGCATGCAATTAAATGCTAATCAAGCTTTTTATTTATTGGTTAATAATAAAAGTATAGCTTCAATGTCGACTTCCATGGCAGAAATCTATCGTGATGATAAAGTAGTTTTTAAAAAAAACAATATTTAATAAAAAAATATTTTTATTTGCCTTCTTCTATTTAAGGACGATGATGGATTTCTTTATATGACTTATGCTAGTCAAGAAATGTTTGGTGGAATTTATTAAAAAAAATGAGCGATTTTGTTTATAATATATATACATATATATGTATTTCTTTTTTTCTTCATCTTTGTTGTTGTTGTTATTGTTTGTCTTTGGAATATTTTTTTCCTTTATAAAAACCAAAAAAATAAGAATTAGATGATTCTTTTTTTTGCTCATCATACTGAGAGCAACCGGTGAGCAAAAGAGAAGAAAGTTTCTATCGTATGAATGGTATACAATCTAAATTATTTCTTTGACATAATAGCAATATAAAAAAATATCTAATTTTGAATGTGTATTGAACTATATATTTTTTTTTCTTATGTGTTTTTCTGTTCATTATATAATTATTGTGCATTTTTATTTTCTGGTTTTTCCTTTATATGTGTGTTGTCTTCATTTTTCTTTTTGTTCTTCTTATTGAGATGTATTGATCATAAAACATGTTTTATTTTGTATTATACGAAAAAAAGAGAGGGAAATATACATACACACACACATTTGTACATTGTCTTTTTCATTTCGCTGAAAGAAATTTTTTTTTTCAAATTAAAGAACATGATTCTAATGAGAATACAGATTATAGAAGATTATACATATATGAACTTTAGTTACTGGAATTTAATTCTTTTTTTTTCTAACCATCGAAAAACAACAACAGTTCTTTAGATAAGTTAGAGTTTTGCTCTTGATGATAATAATAAATACTGCAATTTGTTTCACAATGTACTTTTATTGAAGTTTCGTGAACCATTGAGTTTTTTGCGCTTTAACTCTTTTCTTTTTCTTGAGTGCTAGATTTTATTGTTAAGTAATAGGGATGCTTTCAATATGAAACGTGAGATTATGCCTCATTAAAGATCATGGAAATACGCTCTAATTATAATGTAGAGATCGACTTACTAATATGAGAAAAATGTCTAATATTATAATGTGATTAATAGTGTCATAAATAACATTGTACCAATGTAGCTTCATTTTAATATTTTGAAATTATTTGTAATATTTTTTTCTTCTTTATATTGACAGAATTATTATTGACTTAGAGATATAGGTTTTCAAAATATATATATATGATAGTTTGTTAGATAAGTATAATGTTTCATGTGACTATGTGTTGTTCAGAAGCAAAACAATAATGATCAACCATCGATGATTGATGGAACGATAAGATCGATATCATATATTTTCCGAAAGTAATAATGATTAATATGTATCAAAGTATTGATCTTGGAAGTATTTTTCCGTGATATATAAGACATGTCTGTTTTTTTTGTAGAATATAAAATAAATAAAGAACTACTTTGAATGTTTTAGATAAATTTAGTGTGAGACAAAATGTTTCACAAATACAATTCATTTACGAATACACTTTCTCCGTCCGATCAAATTTCGGCTTTTGTACCACAAGTTAGATATATTAATTATGAATTTAATATAATAAGTTATTTTCATTTATTCTTCTTCTTTTATTAATAGAGTTTCGGTACTAAAGAGGCAACAAATAACTTTTTCCTTGCTCCACAACCCAAAGGTCGTCAACCAGGTGGATCCGGTCCTGATTCCAAAGGAAGCTTAGCTGGTCGCCAGATGTCATTATTTCGCTTTTTTTCAAAAAACACTGGTGCCAGTGGCTCAGCTATAGCTGCTACAGCTCAATCGGTAGCTGCTACAGCTCAGTCCGTAGCTTCAACAGCAACACAAGCTGTAGCCAATGCAAGTCATGCAGCCACTCAAGCAGTTGCTTCAACCGCATCACAAGCTGTAGCTAGTGCAACTCATGCAGCCACACAAGCAGTTCAGCAACATGGCACTAGTCATGCTGCTAAAAGTCATGGTCATGGTCATGATTCTCATGCTGCTCCATGGGAAGGTGTCAATCTTTGGCGTACACCATACAAAGGTGATACTGATACAGTTACACAAGTTAAACGTAACAAAGGAACACTTGATCGTTTTGTTGAAACTCGTACTCGTCGTATTCAAGAATTACAACTTTTTGCATTAGTAAATATTCTATAGAATTTTATTTTATAATTTTAATTAATTCTTTTTCTTTGTAGCGTAATAAAACTAGACCTACTTGGGTGATGATGCCAAGAGATAAAATAATTTTTGCTGCCCAAGGTCTTATAGCTGCTTATGTTATTTTTCAAGTAACAACAAAAGTATATCAACATTTGAAAGCTAAAGATCGTCTTAAACGTAAATATAACTATTTTACTTTATTTATCTCATTTGTTTTTCATTTATTATAGTTATAAAACTACTTTACAAAGACAATGTCGATTAATATATTTTTTTCTCTCAAACTTGTCCACAAAACCAACAACTTCTTCCTTTTCCCTAAATTTTTCTATTTCTTAACTTCTGTTGCCGGTACACAACACCGTTTATTTGTAGCTTTTTTTTTCTTTCAAAATAAAGAGCATAGGTATTAACTTCATATTTTATTAATATATATCTGCTTTAATAACACAAAAGAAAAGAAAAATATGAACCTAGTTTAGTTATGAAAAATGAAATTCATGTTTTAATATTAATGTGGATTATATAATGATGAACTACTATCCATTAATCTAAAAATAAAAAAGAAAGATTTTAATTAAAATTTCTTTTTTTCATTATTACTTCATCATATTCATTAATAAATCTTGTTTAATTTTTGGTGTTGTTATTCTATCAATTGGCATTTGACAAAAATTAAATAAAGTAGATTTTTCCTCTTGAGATAAATTTGTTATATTCAATGTTATCCATTCACATAATTTAAGTATAGCTGGCAGATGTTCTGTAAGTTCTGTACTATCTAAAATAAATATTTTTCTTTTTATATTACAGAAAAACAAAAGCAAACTATGATTTATTTACTTTGATGAACAAGACGAATAGCCATAGCTAATACATAAAAACAAACTCGCCAATATGTTGTTGAAATAATTTGTCGAGCACGAGCTGATTCAATTTGTGATAATAAATGACGAAATAAATCATCACGAGATAGAATTCCAAGTAATTTTAATGAGGATTGACGCATTCGTTGTAATTGTCCATCAATTGAACGTGCAGTTAAATCGGCTAAAATTTTTAAATAATATTATTTTTTAATAAAAAGAAATTTTTATTACTTGATGCATCAAGTGTATAGATTAATTTAAGAACAGTATCAATCTCATGTAAAGTACATAAATTATCTAATGGACTTGCTAAGATTTTAAGAATAAGTTCAGTTAATTGATTGGCAAATTGATAGATCTAAATATAAAATACGATAAAAGTCTTCCAACAATTCTTGTTTTTTTGAGATATTTATTAAAACAATATTCAAATGAATTTATTATTTTGTTATAAGAACAACAGAGTTTTGTTTCCTTTGTTTTTTTTATTCCATTGTGTATTTCAATACTTTTTAAATTGAATAGCTCTATTGTATTCGATCTCTACTTTATAGTCATGTCGACAAACAAAACTAATATTATTTATTTCTAATACGCAATTCAAACTAGCAACATGATGTAGACTTTTTGAATATATACTATAATTTTTTTTAGTTACTTTTTCTTTTGTTCGAACATTTGCCATTAATGTTGCAACTGTTAAATCAATAACAAATGCAAGTGTTCGACCAAACATCCATCGACCATTACGACTTGATTCATTATCACTATTTTTAATAAATATAAATATATAGAATTCTTTCTTTCATAAAAATTAATCTTTACTGTAATAAACGTCGAGTATCGATATGAAAATCCATAAGAGGTAATAGAGCATCAAATACATTACTTGATACAAGTAATTGTGCACCATTGTTAACTGATGAAATTCTTAGAAGAAGTGCCTAAATTTTATTATTATTTTTCAAAAAAGAAAATAAATAAAATCGATTATTTTACCATATATGATGAAAATGAATGCCATGTTTTAAGATCAACTGTACCAGATGTTTGTAATGATTGTACAACAGCACAGGTTAATTGACGTAATTCACCTTCGAGGGAACGTAAAAATGTTTGATTGAAAGTATTTAATATTACATCTGATGTATCAACTGTTATTAAAGACGTGAGTAGACTTGATGCAGATGACTAAATAGCAAAAAATTTGATATTTATTGAAGTCTATACAATCGATTAAATTTTTGTATTCAGATCCGATCAAGAAGAGATTCTTACGCTAAGATTGAATAATACGACTTAGAAAATAAAAACCGGACCTATGACGACATACTGTGAAATTTAACGAAGAAATAAATTACTTTAGATCACTTACAATGTCGTATCTAACAGTTGGAATGGTTATCCTGCGCGAGTCGAAATTCGATATGATTGTCATTCAATAACAGCTCAATATTGATAAACTTAAATTGAAATTTGAAATACGTAACATCTTCATACAATAGAGTCGCTCATAGAATTCTTATATCAAATTGGACTGTTAGTTTACTTAATTAGAGTCGAGATTGAATAAATAGTATTTATAATAATTTTTACTCGATTTTACTATACAACTTTATTCAATTAACGCATTATGAGCTATAGTAAAATTTCTAGTTAGTGAATACCTCCTAATTATGAATAGTCTTCGATCTGACGGAGCGATTGTTGCCGGAAAAGCCTCTCTGTCTAACATAAACACCCTTTAGCGATCTCTTATGTTCTTCTGAACTCCCTTTCTTTCTATGATCTATTTCTTTTGCACTCCGACTAAGTGCATTTTTTTAAAGATTTTACTGCTAGAAATGCAATATTAAGATTGACATCACGACATAAGCTTATTTTACAAGAAAAACTATAATTAACTTATGATAATGGTTTATTACAGCGTAGATTAGCTAAACTCTATAAAGTGAACACTTTTGAACGGTTTTACTGTAGTTTTTTTTCTCGAAGACTTACTCGAACAGATGGTACACTTAAAAGTGCATCATCATATATGATAGTTAATAAATTATGATTTTGATGAATAGCATGATTAAATATTCTTCTAAGATCATCTTGTTGTTGTTGTTGTTCAACATTTTCAATAATTTCAATAGATTGAACAATTGCACCATAAATTGCTGCTCGACCTTTCGATGTAAAACGTTGTTGAATAAAATCAAATAAATTTTTTAAAATAATAATTAAATTTGTTCGATATTCTCCCGTTATATTCAATTGTTTAATTGATATAATTGATGTTAAAAATATATTCATTAAATGACTTGTTTGTTGATCATCAAGTATAATATTTGTTTGATTAAAAATTTTCTCATATAAATAATTACATAAATCAAATGGAAATGTTTTTATTTGATATAAATTAAGATAAAGTATTAATTCAATTAATGAACGCCATGCATCAATATGTGAATTTCTCCAATAAAAATCAATTTGTTCATTATTTAATTCATTTGCATAAGCAAGAATGATTTTACAATCATGAATATAATTCTCTTGATTATTATTTATTTCATTGATTAATTCATTATTATTATTAATATTATTTGTTTGTTGTATTGTTTTGATTTCATTGGATAGAAATTTTCTTAATGAATCTAAACGATATAATTTTAAATTTGATCGTTCATTATATTGACATGCTTGTAAAATATTATTTATTTTATTTAAATCAATATTTGGTGTTTTTAATTGTGATGTTAATTGATGATCAATTTTATTATAGGATGAATTTAATAATGATAATGTTAAACGATTTAATTTTATATCAATTAATTCAAAAAGTAAATTTATTGTTGTATCAATTAAATTTTTTGATATTATTGTTGGATGATTTGTTAAATGATATAATTCATGTGTTATAAGGCGTAATAAATATGTTTCTATTGAATGTTTAAATATATTTGATGAGGTTTTTAATGGTAAATATAATTGGATTTGTTTTTGTATGAAGATATGTTCATGAAGAATATCAAATGTTATTTTAATTATATTTGAAGAATTATTTGTACATAAAAGATAAATAACTTCATAACATAATGGAAGAGTTTTTTGATAAAAATCAATTTTTAATGGTGATAAATCATCAAAAAAATTTAAAATTGCTTGAAGACAATTATTAACACGAGAACTTTTACCAGTTAATGTATAATAAGAATCAATTGGTTCAAGTTGATGTTGACGAGTAAAACCACAAAGATAATGACCGATATTTGATTGAACTGATTTCGTTAATAACCAAAGAACAGTATAACGCATCCGAGCTTTTAAATCTAACAATCAAAGATAAAAAGGGATATTATTGCGTACAGATAATTATGAAAAAAAAATCAACTCCGATAGTGTCTACCGATTCGATTTGATCCTACTCCTGCTGGATGTATTTTCGAATTCATACAGAGTTCCACTATTGCACAGTATTAGTGAGAAGGCGATCCTAGGCTGCTGATAGACAACCGTCGGATTTTAAACTAGTTTTGATAACGAGAAGAAGAAAGACAACTACTGAGTAACAGAGGATGATAATCTGAGATAGATCATAGTTCAAGTGCTAATAGCTACACTGGAAATGGTAGTAAATCTTACTAACTAGATCGATCTTTCTAGGAGAAGAAAATATTGATGTATTTATTATTACATTCTATTTATACATAACTAATTAATTCATTGAAATTGATAAGGAGATAAGATATACATCAATCCTTTTATTTTATAAAGAGAATTCTTTAAACAAAATTATAGTACAATTTTGTCTGCTTTGAAAATAGATCGAGCTGTATTAATTCACAGAGTTATCAATTTCGATGAAACTAAGATAATAATCTAATTCTTTTTTTTCTTACCATTATCATCTACTTCATTATTATTATCTGGATCAGGTTCTGTAAATTCCAAACATCGTACTAAACCATATCTTAATATAGCTTTTTCTTTCTAGAAAAAAATACTCAAATAATTATTTCTTTTACTAAAATCAAATAACAATACATGTTCTTTTGGTAAAAGTCGAAGGAATGGTTTTTGTAATTTATCTTCACTTAATGTTTTTGCAATTATTGATAAAGCTTGATGTGCTAATTTTGGAAAATAATCAATCATATCAATTAACCTAATAATATGATATATAATAATAAAACTATAGCGAATATTAGAAATAAAATATTACTTCATTATATTTGGAAATAAATCTTTTGTATTTGCATCTGTTACAATACGTTCAATTGGTGTTTGACAAAATGTGAATGTTGATGATTTATCTGTTTGTAAGATTTGTTGACTATTAATTGTCACTAATTCTAATAAGTCAATAATTAATATTAAACTTCTGGAAAGTTCTTGTTCACCTATATAAAATAATTATTTTTTGTTCGAATATTCAATAATTAAAAGTAAATTTCTTACCACTGAATGAAACATATTCAGATAATTTTTCACAACCATCAGTTATCAATGTAGTTAACTAGAAAAAAAACAATATTGAAAATTATAAATTTGTCTTTATTCTAGAAGATAAACAAACCAAATTATAAAGTATGCCACCACGAAGTAAATCATTCACAAGTAATTCACCAGGTAAAACATTATTTGCTTCATTATTATCATTTGAAATAATTTGATTTGCAAAATAATTTATCACAATATCATTTAATATAATTAAAACACTTTCAGCTATTTGCCACTGAAAAGAAAACAACAGATATATCATTAGTATAAAAAGAGTGTGGATGAATTAAAATATACATACTTTTTCTTGTATTGATTTAAATGTTCTTGTTGGTATTTTAAGTAAAACATGATTAACAAGAAAAACAACACAATAACCTAATGTTCGCATATCTGCATTTGTTTTTAATTGTTGTGTTATAATTGGTTGAAGAAATTTTAGAGATGATTTTAAAAATGTATATTTTTGTGATGGAACTTCAAATTCTTCGATTTCATAAGCCATTGCTGGCATATCAGAATTTTCCATTGGTGCAAATAACTTTTGAAAATAAAAGATAGAAACATTCGATAAAAAAGAAATATTTTTTTCTTACATCAATTTCTCCAATAATTTTCCAAAAATGCATTGCTATTTCAGGTGTTTTTGTAAATGCTGATAAAGTATTAAATAATGCTGCTTTTAAATCAAGAGATATTCGACATGATAATAAACCAAAAAAAGCAGCAGTTATTTGCCATTGTGGATGTTCAAAAAAGCCAATACGAGATACTTCATCCTAAAATAACATAAATTTTATAAAGAAGAAAAACAAAATGGATTCTACTTGTGATGCAATAACTTCAATTAGATTTAATACTGCAATAAGTGCTGTAACTTCTTTTGGTGCAATAGTTTTTATTGCTGATGGGGATGGTGATCCACTAAATGATGTTTGAGGTTGATGATTGAGTAATGTATCTGGACGATATGTATTACGATAAAGAAGAAATGCTTGAAATATTCGATTCCAACATGTTGGTCCACCAGTATCTTTTAAAAAAAGTAAATAATAAAATTGAATTCATTTTTGAAATTTTACCTTTTGCAAATCGTAATAATTCAAAACAAGCATGAGCACTAGATTGTGTTGAAGAAATACCAGCTAACATATGAATATAATGACAATAGAGATAGGCTGATAGAGTTCCACCAGCTGATTCAACAAAATTGGCTAATGCAACCTAGAAAAAATGAAATTAGTCATGAGTAACATCTAAAGCTTTTAACTTGTTTTCTATTCTTATTGAATATAAGCATCTGACGAAAAATCTTAGGTAATCTTTCGACTTTAAGTAGATATCAATCAAAAGAACACAATATTAAATTCATGTTCTACGCGTAGATATTTACTTGTTGTTGTGTTGGTGATTGTAACATTCTGTGTCCAGCTAAAGCATCAGCAGCAATCCAAAATTCTTCACTCAAATGTAAACCCATATGATCATTTGCATAGAATGTTGAAAGCTAAAATTAAAATGAAAATATTTCTTTTTAAACTTGTTAGTATAATACAAACCAATTCAAGAAAATATTCATAATCTCTTTGTAAATTATCTGGTAGTGGTTTTCTAGCACGTTCACAATCTTCAATCATTCTTGCTGTATCTTCAGCTTGTACACGTAATTCTTTTAATTTAAATGGTAAATAATAAATAAAATCCACAAAAAGCATATGAAAACGTCGAATTAAAAATTCCTTTATCAAGAGAAAAAAAATCAATTCAATTTAATATTATGTTTTTACAAATTTTCTTACTTCTTGTTCGAATAAAGAACTTTTAATAACTGTTTCTGATAAAAAGGCAAATACATGTGCTTCAACAGCTGTATCTGCTAATGCTTCAATATCTTCTGAATAGATATGTCCTGTAAAAGAATAGAAATTTAGTTTGTTTGGTATCAGAATTTATATTATAATTACCATCTGGTAATGTATGTGAACGTGCTCGTAAAATAATTGCCCAAGCAAGTTGACAAACAGCTTTTAATTCAGGTATAATCCAACGTTCATCATTTGATAATAGATCACGAATAGCTATTAATAATGCTGGATCAATAGGTGATGTAGATGTTGTTGTATTATTATCTAATGGACTCAACGGTTGATCTAAATAGATTATTCTTTCAGAAAAAAACAAAAAAGAAAAGAAATCTTTTGTCAACCTTCTTGTAAACTAAATTGTTGATGTTTTGAAGTGATTATTGATGATGAACCAGACATTGTATCATTTGGAATTGTTAATGCTAATGTTATACCATAAAGAAAAGCTCCAAGAATATATAATGTTGATTCATCAATAATTCCATCATCTTGTACAGTTGAATATTTAGCTAAATAATTAATAATTGCAAGTAAATGTGATTGTGTTAAACGTATTTGACAACTATATAAAAATATTGATTTAGCTTGAAATGATCGAATATGTTTTATTGAATCTTGTACACGTCGTCGATGTTTAACATTTCCTAAACCAGCTTTGGAATATAATTTTTGTTCTTCATTACGTATTTGAAATATTATTAATTGTTCAATTATATTTTCAATTAATCGTTGTTCAACAAGTTCATTTATAAAATTCGTACAAAATTCAATTGATCGAGGTATTCGAAGTAATGATTGAAATGTTCGACCATTTAAACAAGCCATTAAATAAGCTAAACATGCAGCTAAACGTTCTTTTGATTCATAATATAATTGTACAGCTAATAAACCACGTGTACAATCAGGATAATTTGATTGTAAAGATTCTCCTTCGATTAATAATAATAATGAATCATATTCATTTAATTGAAATAAATCACTAATAGCAAAACATTCATCAATAAATAAACGTGGTAATTTTCGACGATCAGTTAATGAATCGAATTGAATACCATCGAGATCAGCACGTGAAAGAATATTACGTTGAACAGCATTTTGTGGCTAAAACAAAAAAGAAAATTTAAATTAATAGATAAATATAATACGATATTTTACTGAATTAGTGATAATATTAAGTAAATTGCTTTTATTTGAAGTAATTATTTGAAATTTTTCTGTATCAATTAGTTCATTTGATGTTAATAATGAACGAAGTGTATCAAATAATGTATTAAATGTATCGAACATTTTCTGAAAGAATAGATTAAAATTAATATGATTATTTTATTTCTTAGAAAAAAAGAAATTAATTTCAACTGTAACTGTTTAGAAATTCAACCATTCAAAGAACGATAAATATCCTACCAATGAAAAGAAATTCACTTTTTAAAAAGTGGTCGCTGGTTGTCTTGAAATTGTTTTCGATTAAATTAATAAAAATGAACTTAACTGTCAGCTTCTATGAATTGTAATGTTCATTTTACATAAAGATCATTAATATGTGACTGTAGTATGAAAGGAACGTGGGGCTGTCACATTACTTATTACTTATAATATAATAAGTAATAAAGTAATCTGAGCAATAAAGTAATGAGTAATACGTAATGTGACAACGCTAAAGGAAAGAACTTGACGTGTTTGTAATTACAATAGCTGAGTCGTTAATTGAGTATGGTTTTAATATGAAAAAAAACGATAATATCGAAGTTTAGAAGGTTCGTATGATATTTTCGAATATCATTGCAATGAATTTAAGAACCTTGATAAACAAAGATAATCGTAGTAAAAGTAAATAATGATGAGCAATATAGTTTTTGATAGATAATATTGTCAAAAATGACTGTGAGCTGTAAGTAATATAACATCAGTCATATCAATAGATTGAAATGAATCAAATTTAACACATTAACTTAGAATATCAAGTTTAATTAACAAGAAATCTTTTTCTGAAAATAGTACTGAAACTAGAAATTGTTTCTATTAGCTAGATTATATTGTTTAAGAGATTAAAAACCAGACTGTACGATCAGATATCTATATTTCAATTGTTTTTGTAATTGAACTTCGATAATTTACGAAAGACATGATATAAAATGATTTAAACAAGTTTACAGTGACATCTATGTTCATTTATATTGATAGAAATATATACCAGAGGAGTTACATAGTTGAATATTTTACTTATGGTGAGAAACAATAAAATTTTACATTATTCTCATCTCATTCATATTAGATAATAATTATGGTATGCTTACTATTTTATTAATAAAAACAAATCATTTTATTTAATGAATTAAATAGATTCTTTCACGTACCAAAGCAGCAGATGATCCAAAGAAGAAAGGTGCTACACAAGCACAAGATAAAAATAAAAAAAAATCAGTCGAAGTCGAAGATTTTATTGCTGAACGTGATTATACAGGTGCAATTGCTTATCTCGAAGTATTTATTTTGATTTTGATTAATAAAAAAAAATATTTAATTATTATTTCATATAGTTTTGTCGTCAAAGTGAAAAAGAAGTAAAAGATCTTGATCTTTGGTTAGCATTTGCAGCATTTCATGCTGGTGATTATCAACGAGCAAGTGATGTATGTATCTCATATTTCAATTATGAATAGAGCTTATTGAAACAAAGTAAACTCAAACAGAATTTAAGCACATGGCGTATTAGTTAACAATAGTAATCATTTTAGTTTAGGGTTACGAACTTAACTTTTCCTGAAAAATACTTCTAATAGCTATTTATAATATCTTATGTCAAGAACAGGGAACAGACGCATTTTTATTCGTTTTACAACATACTTTCTTTTTTCTTTCTTACCGTGTGCTCTCCCGTGTTAACGGAGAAGCAAGTATATATTCTTAATTTACTCTCAATTCGCTGTAAAGAATGTAATGAATATCGATTACACTAATGGAATTGATCCAAATTCAAATGAAGGGGTACGAACAGGCATTACACACACTGCGGGCCTCCACAATTTCAACTTCAAAACCCGCAGTCGATTTTAAATCATAATCATTATAATGTACAACAACAACAACAAATTGATCTACTTCATTTGTTAGCACAAAATCTATAGATGTAAAATGACTTTTATCAATTTTTGGAATTCACACGTGCGAAAACTATACAACAATCTCTTCCAACAGATCTTAATGGTTTAATGAAGCAAAACCAACAATAAATTCCATCGATTATAAATGTGCAAATAGGTATCCATTATCAATCATCAACTCTGAAATGTAGTAGATCTCTCAATGGTAGCAACGAATATCACTTTCATTTGATTAATTAAGACGAGTTAGTTCGAACTAGCAACAAGTTATATAAACTTCCATCAGCTTTCCAAGCGAGAAATACAATCGAAAAATATTTTAAGGAACATGATGCTATAATTCAACAATTCTCATTAGTCGACTGGTCCTGTAAACGTTTGAAATTAGGAGTAAACAACAAATACGACTACATGACTTTAGTGACAATTGAAAACTGACCAAAGTTAATTAAAAATATACCGATTGCAGCTATTAAGTCAAAATATATTTCAATTGAATTAAAAATTGAAACTGTTAAATATGAAATTAATCGTACGATTACATCAGCAGATAATATAAAACAAATTCATTATGCGTATCAGCAATTTATAATCATTGGTTATTTATTACATCCTTTTTATCTAGAAATCGAATGACCTATTGAACTCGTTGTTGGAAATTAGGTCATACTCGCGATCAATGAGAAACAAATATTCAACGATCTCGAATTTACTTGAAAGAAATAACAAGAACAGAAGAGCACACATGCATGAATATACCAAAATATGCAAAATGTGATGGTGACTATCAATATCTCGTTATTCGACAATATCGTGCTGATCTAGAGGATGCCGTCAATAAAGCGATGCAATCTAGTAAACTACAAAGAAACGGCTACTTGAAAAAAACAAGACTTCAATCCTAAAAATCAAGAATTTCCTTCGCTCAATGAACAGAATAAGCCTAATTTTCAACAACAAAATGCGTAGAATCGAATACCAACAGGAACACGTCGCGATGATGAACAGGAAGCAATAAAAAATGCTCACCGTCATAAATGAAAATCTAGTTGCTATGCGCGAAAGTAGTACTGGAGTAGAAGAGAAATTGGAACGAATCGAGAACAAGGTGAATCAAGCAGCATTGGATACAAAATCACACCAGACAACTATACAAACTGGTAGAGATCGTAAACTCCAAGGGAGAAACAGCTGATAAGGAAGCCGCTAATCATCCTAATCACTATTAAGAGACGGGGTAGGTGTGGGTGTGAATAAAAAGAATAATCACATTTACACCCACTTATTATTACCACGAAATGCTAATCATATCTAATCACATAATCAGCTGTTTCTCCCTTGACGTAAATGCTTCAGCTTAACTCTTAAGCACCTTGACCACCTCTTTTTTTATATATGTTGTAAACACCTTCGAGTGTCACACTAATGAGTACAATAAAAAAATAATCTTATGTCACGAAAGAAACTTTCGTTGTAGCTAAAACCATAATGATTTTTCTATGTATTTCCAAGAAAAACTCTACAGAAAGATCGAATAGTATGTGACAATTAGATAATATAAATCTGCTTAATTCTTTTTTGATAAAAGCCTTGAATATTCAAATTAACTTTATATGTCTAATTAAATGTTGTTATTATTATTTAGGAATATGAAAATATTCTCAAAAAAGATCCACGAAATGGTGAAGTATGCATTTATCTCGCTTGCGCTTATTTTATGTTAGGCAAATATGATGATGCTGAACATACAGCACTCAAAGGTCCAAAATCTCCATTACAAACTCGAGTTTTATTTCATGTTGCACATAAACAAAATAATGAAGAAAAACTCATGAATTTACACCGACAATTACAAGATGTGATTGAAGATCAAATGTGTCTTGCTAGTATGCATTATATGAGAAGTCATTTTCAAGAAGCATTAGATATTTACAAACGTTACCTGGTGGAAAATCGGTAGATATATATTTTACTTTCATTATTATTACAAAATAAAAACTTATTTTAGTGAATACTTAGCATTAAATGTTTATGTAGCACTTTGTCATTACAAGCTTGATTTTTATGATATATCACAAGAAATTCTTGATGTCTACTGTAAAAAAAATCCTGAATCAGCAACAGCAACAAATTTACAAGCTTGTAATCAATATCGATTATATAATGCAAAAGCAGCTGAAGTACAAAAAATAACCTAATCAAACAAAAAATAACTTATCGTATTATTTTAGAATGATCTCAAACAGTTTCTTGATAAAATGAGTACATCATTTAATTATGCCAAAGAGTTATTCCGCCATAATATGGTAGAAATAATTTATCATTATCGTTCTAAACCATAAAAATTTTTCTTTTTTCTTTTACTAAAGGTCGTTTTTCAAGGTGGTGAAGGTGCTCTCCAAATCTTACCACCCTTAGTTGATGTTATTCCAGAAGCACGTCTAAATCTAGTTATTCATTATCTTAAAGAAGGTAATATACTATAAATAATATATCATATTTTATTTTTGAGAAATGTAGATGATTTGGAACATGCATATGAATTAATGAAAGATGTTGAACCATTACAACCAGCTGAATATATTTTAAAGGGTGTTGTTAATGCTGCCTATGGACAAGAACATAATTCAGTAGAGTTGATCTTTTTATATAAAATATAAAACGTAAAATATTGTTGTGTGTTTATAGGTTGATCATATTAAAACAGCTCAATCTTATTTTCAATTAGTTGGCGGTTCAGCGAGTGAATGCGGTAAATACTGTTATTAAAGAAAACATTATTTATTAATAATGAGCAATTATTATCTGAAACTTCTCCTAAAAATAAAAAGAATATGAGTGTCTGAATATAAATAGTTGTATTTTATCAAAAAAGAATAGCATTTTTGAATCTCGTCAGGATACTTATAGAAAATTCTCCAGTGTGATTATGTTATTACAGTTAGGGAAGAGGCAAAAATGAAGATACTATGGTAGTTGTATTAAATACATAGGTGATGAACTTCAAGTTTTTTCCTAACAAAATAGAATTTGACAGATAATCATAGTTTTTGCAAACTCATTTAGATACCATACCTGGTCGACAAAGTATGGCTGCATGTTATTTTCTTCATAAACGTTTCGACGATGTACTTGTCTATTTAAGTTCAATAAAAGTTTGTACTTTTTCTTGCCAGTAATTTTTCGGAAAAAAACAAAATGTTTCTCTTCAATTAGACTCATCTTGAATACGATGATTTATTTAATTTCAATTATGCACAAGCCAAAGCTCATGAAGAAAAATGGAAAGAAGCTGAAGAAGTAAAAATAAATAAAACAAAATCTGCTTTATTTAATGTAAACTTATCATTAAAACATATTTCTTTATTTTATTTTAGGCATTTCTACTTATTCAAAGTGAAAAACTAAAAAATGATTATGTTTATTTAAGTTGGTTAGCACGATGTTATATCTATAATG